TGCTGATGTGATGTGATGCGGCATTCTGTTGTGATGAGGTTCGGCGTTTTAGTCATCGCGGCGGGATGCAGTCGTGGGATTTCCCGATGGTTCCGAGCGTCTGCCGGTTGGCCCCGGCCGGGGAGTCCGGAGCGCGAGGTCTTTTGGGGTGGCGTTTGGCTACTACATTGACTTCCCACGCATCATGTGAGAGGATGTTCACTCAGTCTGGAGCTTGAAAGACATGGTGTCTGCGGCCATTACGTCAACGGTCAATTGACTCAACTCTCATTTTTCGAACCTCTGTCGGCTCCGTCCAATGCCGGGACCATGTGGGAGGTGAACTTTTTGCAAGGGTTTGGCTACCGGTGTTGGTTCCGGGTGGGGTAGAGAACGGCGAACGGTGTGTCTGTGCATGTTTCCCCGGCAGGCATTTGCTTTTCTGTTGATCTCTAGACCCCAGCAATGGTTTGACGCGTAGAGCTACATTCGATCGTCTTGGAGTGCATTGCTTTAGCAGTGTGATATTAGTTAGCAATGTCACCGACGAAGCAACAGTAAGTATATGTACAGCCCAAACGTGTTCACATTGAGAAGTTGTACGTGGCTCGTGGTCAACGATGGCTTGCTCACTCTCAGGATATTAGGACGTGTTTGCTGGTCACCAACGGAGTGTACGGTGTAATACCTTTCCAGAGCAGAAAAATGCCCTGGTTCCGTTTGGCTTCTCTGGTACACCTCCGAGTACGGGCACCTACCGGGATGCCTTTCGGTGTAAGCGGCTCTGGCGCTCACATAACCTCACTACCTTTTAGCTCCACAGTCGACCCACCCTTCCCCATAGCAGGCCATGTCGTTGCACCTGCTCCTCGGCCAGCGAGCTGAGGAGGTAGAAGGCAAGCGAATAGACTACTTCCTAGTATCATCACGTACCGGGGAACTTCCCAGCAGCCCTGGGAGCCAGCCCTGGGAGCGGACCTCTAAATGTCACTACCTTGGCCCATGCGGTTACATCCTGACAAACCTTACCTCGACTTGGCTGACTTCAAGACAAGGTCTCCTGACCAGAGGACTTTGTTGTTTCGTAGATGTTTCCTGCGATTCTCGACAATAGCCCAACCTTCCACGGTTAACCCACTCTGTCTATCCTACCCGTCTCATCCGGCCTTATCCATGACCGTTCGTTCTCCGGGAGAGAGGGATGGGTCCCTCCGGCATATGGGCTACAAGTCTTTCACATCGCCAAGGTCCACTTGTCGGTGGGCTCGGACTTGAAGGTAGCATCAATTACACATCACTGAAGCCGCCATTTCACATCATGGAACTGTCGAGTGGCATAGTGCCAACAACTTGCCGGAGAGTGGGTAGTTTCAAGCAGAAGTATAAGACCTTCCCTTCATCCCTCTTGAGCGGTTTGTTTTCCATCACACCATTGCAGGTATCAGCTTTCAAGATCCATCAACAGGCTCGAACAACATCACTTCGACTAGAGGACTCTACTAAACAGACGCATTCTTTGCGGCATACCCAGTAATACCAAGCTTTTACCACAGCAAACACCGCCATGGGTTTGATCCTCCAGCGAGTCAACGAGGCGCTCGACATCAATCCCACCCCGGGCATTGAGGAGCAGCTCAGCGTCAACGGCTCCAACTGGCTGTGGACTTGTGTAGCCATATACTCTGTCTTTTTCGTATGTTCTTCCTGCCCAACTTCTCTTGTGTAGTCTGCCTAATCTTACATTCGTCATCAGCTCGGCGTGTTTGCCCTCTCATGGAAACCTAGAGGCAACGAAAAGGTCTTCCACTACCTCCTCAGCATCGCCCTCCTAGTCGGCGCAATCACGTACTTCTCCAACGCCTCCAACGTCGGCTGGTCCCTCATAACCCAGGGCACGACCTCCCGCTCAGGTACCCCACGGCAAATCTTCTTCAACAAGTACATCAACTGGGTCGTCGCCTTCCCCATCGTCAACATCCTCCTGGGCCTCGTCGCCAACTCTTCCTGGGCCACCATCGTCTGGCACGTCTTCCTCTCCTGGGTCTGGGTCATCAGCTACCTCGTCTCGGCCTATACCCCGTCGGTCTACAAGTGGGGCTTCTTCGTCTTTGGCACCGTCGCCTACCTCGTCATGGCGGCGTCGACGTTTGCCGAGGGCAGCGTCGGGGCGAAGCGCGTGGGCACGCAGGGAGACTACTGGATCCTTGCCGGGTATTTTAACCTCCTATGGCTTCTGTATCCCATTGCGTTTGGTGTCTCTGAGGGCGGTAACACCATCGGCGTCACGCCTCACTTTATCTTCTTTGGTATTCTGGACGTTCTGATGATCCCCTGTGGCTCCGTCGTCTTCTTGATGCTGTCTAGGAAGTGGGACTACAACGCTCTGAACCTGTACTTTACGCAATACGGCCGCGTTCCCCAGGGCGGACACTTCCCTGAGAAGTCGGCGGCTCCAGCCCCTGCCCCAGCTGCGACCCCAGCTGTTTGAGTTGCTTTTGAGCTTTAGCAGCACACTGTGTGGTGTCGTTTGACTGAAGTCTTCATATCAGGGGACACTTTATCGGCCCATTCAAGATGACCGGCAGTCTTTGCCTGATGCCATACTATTCTCGGCCATTAATAGGTGATCAATGAGGAAAACAACAAAAAGGAATTAAGCACAATCTTTTACACAAGAGGGCCAAAGGAGGGGTCTCTCGATGAAGAAACACACATGATCCGAATGGAGTACGGACAGGAAATACCCTCATTCGTTTGGTTCTTTTCAAGGAGTTGAAGTTGAATGAGAGAGTTTGATAATGTGTAATGAAACAATTTGTTTAATCAATATTTACCAGCTCTAGTAATAGACGATTACTCTGAATAATAACGTGCTCCTTAGTCAATTTTTACTACTCTTTCTTGTAGCTTTGTGCAAGCAAGAGTTCCAATCAGAGGCTCCTTCTTCTGGTTGTGACCGACAACATAATTCTTCATCTTTCGAGTTGGGTTCTCCGAGTCCCGCCCATAGGACAAATCTTCTAGTAGTTATCGTCTTGATGATAGCGATTCAAGAAGGATTTGACGGGTCTTTCCGCAAGTTGAGAGATTAGGAGGTCCTCAATTACTTCAGTTTGTGAAGACTCTAAACAAGAGAACGAATGTTGGGTTGTATAGACGTGCTCTTAAGAAGGGACATGGACGACACCCTGGTTTAGCACCTACTAGGTAACCCGCTCTGGACTTTTCTTGTGGAAGATTACCTCTAGATATATTCCCACGTCGAGCAAGACCTAAGCTTTTGGTTTCTAACCTACCCTGTCTTTGTAGCAGCAAACACATTCCTCCTGCTGACCACTTCCGGGCTGTTGAAAGATAGGATTCACTCCAGCCCGAGACTCTCTCGAGGAAGCTGCCCCGCTCCTCCAGCGTGCAGTGATCCTGGAAAGCGGATATCACATCGAACATGAGACTTGACAACATGATAGTAAACCTCATCAGGAGTCCGAGGTGTAAGAAACTTCGTCCACGCCGTTCGTAACTTCAGGATTGTAGGCCTTAACGACGAAAATGCTCAACATTGTGTGAACCACTGCTTGGGTAGCTTGTTTCATCTGCTGTCTTCTCCTACAAGCTTTTCGTTTGGTCTACATCAGCGGCTTCTCTTTTCGTCGCCCTGCTGCCCCAGTTGTCTCGCCACTGCCGCTGCTCTCGCGGACTATAAATACGACGACCAGTCGATCTTTTTCAGTCAAACCGTCTGTCGACAGGTCACCTCTATGATGTCGCCGGTGGCAAGACGAAGACTGAATTCCTTCAATGGCTCTTCCTTAGGGTTCGCGTCGAGCAGATCCCGGAATAAGGGTTGTCGGGCGAAGTAGCCAACCTAAGATAGGACCGCAGTCGTTACCACCGTCCACTACGGTCATGATATTCCGGTTGGAATAAGATGTCAAAAAGAAAGGGAAGAGGTTGATTCTCGTTTGATGGAAGATGAAAAGGCCCTTCTAAGGCTCGTTTTCTAGATGCTCAATTACTGACTTCCGAACGAGCTATGGAGTGCAAAGCGTTCGCGGACAAGAAGAGGAGGGGAGTTTCTAGGCAGACTGCTTGTTGCCCACCGGTCTCTCTTTTACAGATCTCTGACCAATTCACATGTACCGATAAGCTAAATATCCGTTACGACATGTGATGCTTGTATAGAGCCCTTGAGCACCAGACTGTAATTGAACTCGTGCCCGGACCACAAGACCGCGCCGTTAAGATAGATGGTATCTCATAGTGGCTCATTGAGATAGGAAGTTACGGTACCGACCTCCCTCGTAGAGAGTTGTATAATGCCTGAAGATATGGTCTACGTCCAAGCAGAAGATATCGTGAGGCATATTCACCTGGTGTCCAGTCGTAGTACTTTGAGAACATTTCTTTTGGGTTGTCACATATTGCTAGAGACTAGGCTTGAAGCCAAATGCTTTGCGACGTGAAGCCATGCTGGGTACTGGCCAGTCAAGAGCTAGATAAATATTTTCGGTCAAGCCCAAAATGGAAGCTGACTTCACTCACCGGCCACTGTAGTCGGAAATGCTTACGATCCGTGTATTGGGATGAAGAAGAGACGATGAATCACCGTATGGTCCAATGCCAGAACTCAACTAGAACTGGATAATGACAACGAAAGTTGGCCACACATTCTCTCCATTCCAGGACGTCACCGTCCATCATCGTCAGCACGGAAACTCACTCACCGGCAGCCGGCACATCACGACCCTTCACCTCAACCCAGCATCCAAGACAAGAAAGCAACGAACCGCCACATGACTTCGGCGTCCTCGGACGCCAGGTCTCGTCCGGCAAACCGTATACCGCATACAAGACATACATGAACTCATCCACCAAGGTGAGAAACCCCTCACGCTACCCCTCCAAGACACATGTCCCCTTCGCCCAGAAAAAGCAACTATCACGAACCGCACTTCGCAAAAAGCGGGACTGCCCGCCGCCTGCGCCCGTCGCCCGCAAACAAAAACGAACTTTCCCATCATCGCGTCAAGAATGCAAAAAAGCAAACAAACTACTGCCCACCCCCTTAGGCCCCTTTCCCCAGTTGCCCCTCTAGTACGGTAGTCCAATCCAGGCCCCTCGGACTTTTCAAAATTCCCCACGTGGCAAACCATCGTTCTCTAAGCGAGGTCCTGGTCTTTCGCATCGTGCCATCTCACCGGTGCCCGCTGCAGGGAGGTAATCGACGAGATAGACATTCCAATCAATCTCCGACCATTTCTTGCTTCCAATCCATCCCACCGCAAGTAAGCTTCGAGGAGGATCTCAGCTATGCCGGTCACACTTTCTTGACAACCTTCTTTCTGTCCCTAGGTCTCCAGGTACACCATCTCTCTAGATCTCGTTATCGTATGGCTAAAGGTTACTTAAGCCTCCTCCCTCGGGCCCAGGTCAAAGCGTCACGTCACCAGTGAGTGACCAAAGACTTTTGGGTGGGAAAAGGGTCTCATGCGCTGGCGTCGTACACAAGCACGGTAAAGTCCATGAGATATGTAGTGTGCCTCTCTTCACCCCAATTTATCCTATACATCATTACATTCCCCCAACAATTATGTGACGCGAGTAAGTCCCTTCAACGCAGGTGGAAAGAAAATTGGTGACACCTTCACAAAGAAAGACGAGCTGGGCCATTCCCCGAGAGCCCGTTCATAAACTCCAACATTAGTCATCTTTTAGTCGGAAAGGTTACCAAGGTTTTGGAAAAACTATCCCCTTCCATTCCCCCTCGTCTCTATCAATAAACTATAAAGAAGGTTTTCTCCCTCTAAAGAATAAGTATTGAGACGATTCCCGACGGGTAAAAAAAAAAGGACGTAGTTAAAACTACCCGAATGGGGGGGAGAAGTGGTTTAGCAAGGTTAACCTTCCCTCGCCTCTTCGCGCTCAAGAGGTTCGACCGACGTTTTGGCTTTCTCCCATCTCAAAGCAGGCAAGAACCTAGTTACAACGAGCCCAAACAGCAGCAACTTTCGCAGAGCCGCTGACGGGCCCTTTCTTACCGATCAAGTGGGATGCTGCGTACGAGGCAAAACTAACCTTGAGCTGAGTTTCTGGGCAGCACGCGAGAACGAACTGAATGTCGAGGATGGATGATGATTTCCTCGGCAGAACCTAAGTACATAGCATATAGTATCACGAAAAGCGATCTCGGACGGAGGAGAGCGCGAACTCTCTAGGTAATCACTCCTTTTCCCCTCTCCTTGTTGTGCAGTTGGTGCAACACGATGCCGCCTTTTCTTGTATGCCACGACCCGCGGGGGAGCCAAGAAAACCGACTGATTCCAAGACATGAACGGATAGAAACCGACCCTTGATTTGAAAGCACTGAGAAAAAGCCAAGGTTACCTGGAGGGATGGTTCAGGCAAGTAAGTAGGCTGAAGCATATGCAAGCCATGGCGGCGTTCGCTTCTTCTGTCCATGGTTCACGGTTTCTTGGTTTCTGGGTCCTTGAGGTTTCCAGCGCCGAGTTAGCGCCGATGTCATGTTCAAGTGAGGCGTCGCGCAAGAGAGATAAAATGTTTCTGGTTATTCTGCGGCTCTCTGGGTTCTCCTTGTATTGTGCTCGTGTGCGTGTGTGGTGTGTGTTCGTGTGCGTTTCTGGACGCGGGAAAGCAACACATTCAAAAAAGATAGGCGGAAGTCAATCGAGAAAAGAAGAGACAACCTTGCCCTAGGATGCCCGGTGGCCCTTTTGGAGGAGTTTCGAAAGTTGGACAAAAGAGAAACGGACGGTGTTCGGGAACGAGTCTCGGGGAATCCTTGCTTGGGGAGGCAAACGGGTTCGTGCAGCAGCAGCCTCCATCGACATGGCACGATCTAGTCTCTGCCCACACTCATTGATTTATTTACGTCGAGTTGGTTGCATTCAGCCTCAACTGCGAGAGAAGGGGAAGACAAGAGAAAGAAAAAAACGGTGAAGACCTGCAACTGCAAGCGCCAAAATCTGCGAGAGCCATATGAATACCATTCTACACATACGCATCATGTCAGCGGTGGGAGCACGTGCATCATGCAACGGGAGATGCGGCGAAGTATTGAACTAAGAAGCTGGGACATTGTTTGCTTGCCCTCGCGTATGGTTTCTCAACCAGGGTGTGGGTGATTTCGCACCATGCTGTGCCACCATGACAAGACAATCTGAGGCTTCGATGAGGCAGGACGGCCAACACTACCCACTGCCTTCCCCGTTCCCAACATGCTAGCAAGAAATACGAAGCTGCAGGATGGTTGGAGCTGGAGAAGCTGGCAGCAAGAAAGAGTTGATCAGGGCGAGACCGTCCGACGCGCTTGGGAGGGACAGCAGGCACCAGATATGGGAGACAACCCAATAGCCTTTCTCAGCCCATGGACTTCGGCAGTGACCCCCTCCCCTCCTTGGATCTTCTTGTATCGTGTTACACGACATTGGCCATCTATCTCACTGGCAATATGTTGAAGCCGAACGAGCGGCTAGAGAGGATGGGCAATCGAGATGGCGCTGCCGGGCGATGCGGCGGGGTCAGATTTCATATGGTCCTAGATGTGTAGTGTTCCGTTGCGTTTCTTTGGTGAGTGTCAAGTGCTTAGTCACCACCTGCACATAAAGGGTTATCGATTCGCGCCCGTGGCATCGTGACTGGCAGAGTCTTCTTCCACGCGTGCCGTGTCTTGCTCACACTGGAGAGGGGAGGAGCCTGGAAAGAGCCTCGACTACGAAGTGCTTGATGACCGCACTTAGAAGAGTGCCTTACGTTGCAATGTCGTTGGTACCAACCCCGCTCAGCACAGTATGGCGGGCACGCAGGCGTGCCTCGTGGCTCGGACGGGAGAAGCCAGCGTCGCGTTCTCCCCCTCGAGGAAAAAATAGCGACCATCTCCATGGAGGAAGGCGTTGTCGGCTGTGCCGCTTGCTGCCTGTCCTTGACTCGCGGTTCGCAAATTGCCGTGCAAGTATTCCAGTGTTTGCTGCCCTCAGCTTGCCAGGATGACGAGTGAAATCAAGGGAACACTTGCTGATGTTTGCCATGTACCTCAGGGACTTGTCGAAATTCCCAAGGCCGTTGGTTTGGCTCCTCCTTCCCGGGGGCGGCGAATTCCCTTTCCACGGGAGCGCATCCAGTCATGGCGTTGAATAGGGTCGCGTGGCGTCCCTGTTGGTTACTTTGACAGGTTTGCTTGACTGACGTCTGGGCGGACCACAGATGTATGGACGCGACCAGAGCGGTATGTTGGAGCCGGTCAGGTAGGTTAGTCAATATCCGAGGTTTGATGTGAGAACGAACGGGTTTCTTTCTGGGGGTTTGAGTTTAGAGGCCACCTGGGCGATGCCGAAGCTAGCATGGCCGTTGTGACATGATGCAGTAGTCGGTTGCGAGCTAGCTTAGATGACTTTTTTGACAAAAGATATCACGAGAATTTGCAGTCGATAGCAGTCAAATGATCAATGTAGCCACCCTTGTGATAGTGGACGATACAACGTCGAATCACGTTGAGCGATTTAGGGTCGGCCGCCGGAAGCGGGCCAGGAAGACTTTGTACAGGTTCCGCGGGAGAATTGTGAATCGGACCATGAAGTGGGTCCGGATTGACCCTCGCTTAAGTGGGGTGGGAAGGAAGGAGGGTTGCAAGGGAAGGGACGCAGGTACAGTGTCGGCACTGTCCTCCCGACTGGACAGTGGGCGGCCAGTCACGTTGCAGTCTGTCACTTCCAGTTGTGAGTCCGGGCTGAGGCATCTCAGATTGAGCCGGGCCAAGGCAGGAAGCAGCAAGGAAAGTGGAGACTACATGACGGGAGGCGTCATGATTGGCCATGAGATGAGAATGACGAGGACTGGGGGCAGGCAATGACAGGTGGGACCAGGTGGATAGGGAGACATCAGACACTGGGCCAAGGGTCGAGGACAGAAGGCACGCACACTCATGGGGGTCAAGGACAAGGGCAGCTGGGAATGAGATGAGCGAGACTGCGTGCTCCGTCAGAGGTTACTTTCAGTCTTCCACTTGTGCTTAGTCAAGTTAGTCTGGCGCGCTCCCGCGGGCGGAATCAATGCCCGCTGTTGCAGTGAGAGAGTGGCTCAGTGGGCTTTCCGGGCTCTCCCAGACGGGAGGTCGTGCTCGCAGTGGACTCAAGAAACCCATCGCCCGCAACCCGTGGTCGGCTATACTCAATACTGTGTATCTGTAGGGAGAAGGAGACGCTCAGGCCGCCGGGTGAGCGACGATTCCCGTAAAGGCGACTCCATTTTGCCCGTCTCAATTCTGAAATGGCCCATCGTCGCCATCCTGGACAGATGGGAAGACAATGGAGACGGCAACGAGATTCCAGGGAGTTTGCAGGCTCGAGCCAACGCAGCCAACAACGACCAACGCAGGGCTCCGTGGCTCCCAAGTCCATGGCCAGCACCCTCACCACTGGAGTCTCTGGCGGGGACCAACGGACCGCTGCTGCCCCAATTGACCCATTTCGTCTCTTTCCCCTTGAGTTCCTCTCAGGCTCTCGCTCATCCTCAATCAAGGCTTCAGCCCAAGTTCAGCCAGGTCCAGGGCTCCTTGAGCGGCGTTCCTTCCGCACACTCTGATAGGCAGGTACGAATACTCAATCATTCGTTCACTCACTCACTCCCACTCATCAGTCACTCTCATCCCCGAGCTTCACTCACCCACTCACCCACTCAAAACTCTCAGGTTGAGACTCAAGACTCAGACTCACCTCAGACTCAAACTCAGACTCGTCGGGCTCTGGACCCCAAACGTCAGCAGCACACATCTTGTCGCATATGCGCCTCACCAATAAGCACAAGTCTAACGGATGAAATATGGACTCGTACTGTCTCTCGTCTCTTTGGGATGGCAGTTACCCGATGCTGTGGATTGCATAACCTACCCAAGACACCTCCTCATTCTCTTTGACCACTCACCTCATCTCACTCAGCTCCCGAAGCTACGGTCCTGGACACGGTGGACAAAGCGTACCCCCCAGAGACCCCCCTATGCTCCTCTTCCCCCATGCTCCCTTCCCTCGCCTAGGTTCCGCGTCTATGGCACTGGAAGTGGCAAAGCAATTTAGCCTCCAGGCTTGTCACCTTCACGTTTCTTACGTGCTTACCTACCACCCAACGTTGAACACACACCCCGCGAGCCTCGCTACCATCTCTCTGCACCTCGCGTCGTTGGATGGCACGATGGCTTGGTCTCTGCATTCTCGCCTACCGTTCCGACCAGATTGCTTCCTATTTCTGTCTGGTGCGAGGTACCGCGAGAGAGAAGCCCTGTGTGTCAGCGGCACCCAAGACTCAATCGCGCGGCTCGGATGCTCAAAATACTTCTTCCCGAAAAAAGAAAAGAGTGCTTGCACAAATGGGAACTTTTCCTCCATACCACACACCACAACCTCAACCACACCCCGACACCCGGCATCGTGGATGTCGGGAACATTAATCGTAGGGTTTTGCGGCTGCACCGCAATGCATTGTCATTTCAACTTCCTCTTCAAAGCGCCGCCCGGTCGAAGCCCGAGAAAGACGGGATGAATCCGTCATCTCTTGGCAACTCTTCCATTCGGTCCCGACGCATCCACTCTGTCCCCGCCCAAGGTAGGTAGGTATTCGTTGGGTACCAGACAATACCAGCCTCCACCCTACAGGATGTGCGTACCTCGTCCGTATATCGTTGGCTTCCGTCGCTCATTCGCTTCAAGCGTTGCCGCTGCTTTCTCTATCGCCAGCAAGCTCAAGACTACGGGTATCTTTCGCCTTCTTCAACCCTACTTGAGACACGGACACAAGCGTTTCGCTGTCGGCCGATCGGCCGGCCGGCCTTGGTTCGCAATTGCAGGTCTTGGCAGCAATTGTGCAACGCATTGTCTACCTTATACGGAATCTGTACAGGTACGGATACGCATACTTTGCTATGGTCTGCCTTCAGGAGTCCAGCCCTCCATTCTATCGTCTGCGCCCCATTCAATGACGCCGCACAAGTTCACAACTGCCAAGCCTCGGGGGCTTTTATTTCATTCGACGGATGGGATATGGGAAAGATCAACTCCGGCCCTTGCTTCAAATTCCATTGTCTACTCCGTACGGATACGTGAGGATTCAAGTGCTCGACCAGGTTGGAGGCTTGGAACAACTGCCTGCCGGGCCTGGACTATCATTCCGAATCTTTCGTACGAGCCTACGCGGGTATCCGACACACAGTGTACGGATCCCCTACAGTTCGGGCTTAGAGACTGGGTTTTATCCACCTGCCTATCCTGCCATCCCCCACAGTCCCCCGTCTGCCCTGACCCTGACCACTCTCGATTCGACCTCTCGTCCGCCAATGCCAACAGTATTAAATCTCCTCGGTGGGGCCCATGGGAGCTCGGTAGATGCTGATCACTCGGAAAGGTCCTTGGCTAGCGCCTCGACTGATTCAGTCTACCTCGGAAGCCCGATGGTTCCCTTGTATGCTTATTTTTCGTTTTCACTAAGTCGAGATCTAAGCACCAAGCACCAAACTCCAAGTTTCCAGTGCGTACAGAGTACAGATACCTACGACCGGGAAGCCCGTTTTCCAGAGGGAAACGCCTTCACACTCACGACTCAGGACTCGAACTACTTGCTGTCGCAGCCCATGTTCATTTGCTGGCCTCGACCCGCCATTCACGTCAAGAAACTCTATTCCTTGTCTGCTTTTGACGGGCATCGTCGACAATGACGCAAATGCAATGTCTGCGGCGCTGGGCCGTCAGTTGCGGAAACCCCATTCACCAAGAAGACCGGAAACGGTTGTTCGGGTACCACGGCGTTTTTCTGGGGCCGAAGGAAAGAAGTCGCTGCTAACTAATCTGGAAACTTTGGCCGATGCAGACCGGAGCCAAGCCTGTTCCGAAGCAAAGAGTAAGATAGCACTTCCAATGCTTGGGTTTGGCTTTTTCTGGGTCTCTCTCTGGCAATCCCGATGGGACGGTTGCTGCCACGAGCCATTGACCACATTGTCCGAGTTCTTCTGGTGGTCACAACTGCTCGAGCCTCGAGAAGAGGCAAATACCTACGCCAAGGCTGGAGGCCATCTGATATCTACGGACCTCGAGAAGTCGAGAGACAGCACTTTGGATAACGCCCGCACTCAACGCCATCGTTCGACTTGGTCCACCGTCCAGCTCAGCCAAGGGTGGCGACGCGCGCCGTACTGGCATATCAGAGACCACTTTGGCTCCCGTTTCGCTTCTGTGGTTCATATAAGCAAGCCAGCTTTGTCACTTGCACCGTTAACGCGAGTGGATAGAATGCGACTGTGCCAGCAAGGGCACTTGAGTACCTGTTTGGACATCCAGCCAGGACAAGACGGCTCATGTGCGTTATACGGATACATGCGGCTAGGATCTGGATCTCGACGGTTACCTGAGCCTCTCGATATGCCGGCCGGGCGTGTCACACGGCGGCACGACATGCCCTCGTGGTGAGAGGTCAACTTGGAGGATCGCTGGACAAGATGGCACAGTTGCTGAGGGCCATGACAAGCATAGTGTGTTTTGGCAGCCGTAGCCCGCACTGGAAATGCAGCAAAACGTCTCGTCTTCTCTTGTTGGCGGCGGCAGAAGCACCAGTGGGATGTTTCGAAAGGTTCGAAGCATAGCCGTCCAGTGGGAGTAGCACTTTGAGGACTGCTACGAGCCACGCACGCAGAATGTCTCACCATGGCGGGCATCTCTTACAGCAGCAGTTGTGCACAATTTTTTCTTTGGCGTAACCTTGGCGCAACCTTGGCGCAACCTTGACGCCTACGGATACGCATAACCAACAAGATGACTGTAGGTACCTGTATCCGTACGGATACTCTACTATTATACGGATGCAGAGCACCGCCTCTATCAAATCTGGGAGGCGGCCGAGCAAGCACGTCTCGTCCCCTGCCCTTGAAAGCGCAGCCACCCCCCTCGCACTGTACTTGCGACCCAAGTGACAGGCCCCTCTGGCTGAGTGACGCCGTTGATTGGCAGCGTTTCTGAAATCCCGGCAACTTTGGCTGAGTTAGCCTCTTGGCACACATATGAGCCCGCGATGGTGGCGAGCAGGGATGACGAGAAGGGTTGGGACAAGACTCGGGAAAGGATTGGCTCAAGATGAATCGGGTAGATACAAATGGGGTCGGAAATAACGAATGAAGAGGCCCGGTGTCATGGAATCGAGCCACATTGCGCGAAAGCCGAGAGCGGCACAATGGGCCAAGACTCCCAAGAGGCTGCTCCTAACGACTGCAAGCTGCAGATGCACCAGCAAGACGGACAAGAGATCCCTGAACTGGATGGGCGGGTTTGGCGGGTTTGGCGGGTGAGGGCCGCGCTCGGGTAACTAAGAAGGGAAAGAGGGAGCTCCATTCACTGTCCAGTTTTCAACGAAGGCTCGTCTGTTTCTGCAGCTCTGCACTCTGGCCCTGGTAGGGTGGCCTGGCCTCGTCATGCCTGCTCAATAGCCAGCCAGTCAGAGTCCTCATCGTTCACGCATCGACTTGAGAAGACAGTGAGAGGCTGACTGGGCACAGAACGAACCAAGATGCGAAGAAGAAGTCCTAAAGAGGTTGTGGTCACGATAATTCATCACCATGGTGAAGATGTGCATGACCGGACGTACTTCGGACTGGGCGCGCCTCAATGCTGCTCACAGACTGCTCACCGTCCTCCAAGTGCCACTAGCATCAGCAGCAACACGACCACCAGCAGCAGCAGCAGCAGCAGCATCGCAAGGCAAAGCCGCAGACAGATCTGTCCTCGACCTCGAAGGCGAACCCGAGACTCCGGCTCTTTGTGCATTTTTGGGTTGGCACTGCACTGGCTTTCGGTGGCTTTTCTGGCACGGCCCAGGGAAAAGCAAAGGTTTCTTCTGCCCTGCCACGGGGATGGTCCTAGAACTCTACCAGTCGCCTCTAGTGAGAGACAAGTCCAATCACTGGTACGCACGCTGCAATGAACCACAAGGCCGGAAGAGATGGGCAGTGACGATCACTCATTCTCGTTGAAGCAACTGGGAACCAGCCAAACCTTGCCGTAAGCTAGGCAAAGTATCCGGAAATATGGATACGCACCACGCAAGTCGCAAGCTCTAATAGAATAAGCGCAGCAACCTTTCGAGGTCTCTCTTCCGCTTGAGACGAGACGTGCTGGGTTGAACTCGCGATGCTGCTGGATACACTCGTCGCGAGAGAACAGAAGGAAAGAAGAGGCAGGATGCAAAAGAAATCTGTCCCTTGCTTTGAGAACGTGGAGTTTCTTCACCTGCTGGAATCGTCCATTCTCGTTCCGTGACACAGGACGCCGCGGGATCTCAGTCTCTGGAAGCGAACTAGGAGCAAACGCCAGCAAAAGAACCCAAGCCAGCGCTTCGCTAGCATTAGCACATATCTTGACCCATGTGCGGACGACGAAGTGCTCGACAGATACGGGTTAGACCTGAGTCTAGCGTCCGGCTCACTGTCGACCACACACGCCCCCACCCCCCCCATCTTCCCCGTCTGTCCCTGCCCTGCCTTCGTACTCCGTACTGACTGAGATGCCATTCTTCTCATCCTGCTCTTTGCCTATCTCACACTGGGTACAAAGCGGGCTGCGCAGATGTGGGCGTGGACCATTGGTAGGTATCTGGATGGCTGGCTTCTTCACAATCCCGCAGTATCACCGGCGAATACCTCTTGTTCCCTTTTCTCCCCCTTGTACCAACCTCACACCCGCTGTCTTGCCTGGGTTTCTACATAGCAGACGCGCAGACCAGAGTGGAGTGAGTGCGTGAGCGGCCAGAGGGGAAGAATTCGTACGGATACCGAAGCAAGGGCCGCTGTGCGGACCATGGCTCTCGTTTTTCCAAACTTGGCTTGTCCCTTGTCCTGAGTTTTCAGGAGGCACTCATCCTCATTCTCATCCGTCATTTTTGGCTCAACCTCACCATCAAGGACGTAGCGACGGAGGATTGAGTTTCCGGGCAGCGCTGTAAGGTTTAGTGATGGATCTTTTGCTGGGCCATGAGCATTCCAACTCGGCTTGGCATCAGCGCCGTCAGCGCCACTACACCGGACTGCTGGAGGGCTACAGAGTATCCGTACTGCGTATCCGTACACTCATCAGTGACAAACTCGCACGTACGGAGCACGGTGCTAAGGTATGATGGGATAAAGCAAGCACCGCGCTGGTAAACCAAGCAAGATACGGATACCAAGACAGAACAGGAACTCCACCAATTACGCACAGTTGATTCAGCAGGACAGATGGGTCCAGTGGATTGGGAACGAACTGGGGGAGGGGAGTGAGCTCAGAGCAGCGGAAGCTGGGGGGAGTTTTCTGAGTTTGGGCCTTGGAGCGGCCGTCATTGTCATTTCGTCTCTACCAATTACCGCCGAGTCAGCTGGGCCCCAGTCCGAGGCGTTGGGTCCCTCTCTCACTCACACCCAGTGCCAATGGGAATCATCTGGGAATGCACTCCTCACAGTCGGTAGGTATTCATAGATACCCGTACTAGATTCCGTACCCAGACACGCCAGAATCTACATAGAAATGACACCCTTGGTACCCAGTGCGGAATCTCCCTGTCCCATACCCTGCTACCTGGGCGTCCATCCAGGAATATTATGGATCCCACCTCACCCACAATGGCCCGCCGTTCGACCTTGGTGTGCTCCCGTCCAACTCGAGAGACGACCACCCCCCGTCCGTCTCCATTCATCTACCTACTCCCTGGTCCCTTGTCCGTATATTTCACACTGTCCCTTCGTCCCCCTTCTCTTGCTCTTCTCAAGTCCCCCCCCCCCCCCTTCCGTCCCAGTCCTGCTAGTTCCGGTCCAGCCCAGGTCCCAGCCATCAGACACTCTGACACCCCCCCTAAAGCCAATTGCGTTCCTCCGCTTCCCACTCTTTTCAGTCCATCTGGACCCACTCTCCCATCCGTCTCCCTCATCAAACCCCCATTCCCGCCCGTCCTCCTCTTTCCTTCTCTCCTGTTCACCAACCGTCCCCCGAGTCGTCTGCGAATATAGACAACCTCACCGTCGCAGTTGTTGTCGTCGACTGTCGCCAACACCCACTCTACGACCTCGTGATCGGAATCGAAGAAGCGAAAAGGAATCGTTATTACTGGGAAAAACGCCTTTGCTTGATTTACTGGCCTGAACGTACGTGAAACCAGCTGCTGCTGGAGGAAAACGGCCTCGCGCCCTGCGTTCCATTCTGTCGGGGCACTATCCAACTCACCGGATCCCCCCTTCCCCAAGAATCGAGAACGGTGCAGGCGTTACTGAGGCCTTTTTCCTGCATCAGCCACCTAAGTGCAACTCGGTTTTCTAACGTTCAACCAGACTTGTTGTTGTGCACGGCCATCGATCGTTGGGATCGATTGATACCAAGTGTAGCTTCGACAATAACCTCGACGACAATCCCATAAACATTCACCATGCCGGTCGATATCTGCCGTCACGTCCAGTTGGACCACATCGGAGAATCCGAGAGCTATGAGGACAGGCCGACGCGATCTGGCACGAGGATGTGGTATGAGTTGAAGGTTCTGCAGCAACCTGAGCGTGCGCGTGCATGTGGATCTGGACAGAAGTGTAAGAGAGCCTCGATATCTCTCTACCCTTCATCATAGAATTGCCTCTGACCTTACCATCTAGCCGCTGCCGACAGACGCCCCGTCGATCCGCCGCCCGTTGTGCAGTTGCACGTCTACGAGGGACCTACTAGAGCCGAAGCTACCGACATCACTTTCAACTACCGGGCCAACTTCTTTCTCTATGCTGAGCTTACACCCGCGCGCCCCATGGCTCATGGACGCGTTCAAACTCCCGCCGCGACTTCACCTCCCGTACTGACTGGCATGCCGGTTTCGGGTATGGCTTATCTCGACAGGCCTACCGAGGCAGGCTATTTCCTGTTCCCCGACCTTTCGGTTCGTCATGAAGGACGCTATGTCTTGGCCTTCCACCTGTACGAAGATGTGAAGCGGGCGGAGGATCGGGACCCGGAAGGCGACGCGGAAGATGAGGAGGAGAACCCGTTCTTCAAGTACAGGATGGCTGTCAAGTCGGTGCCGTTCAACGTCTTCAGCGCAAAGAAGTTCCCTGGTCTCACGGAGAGCACAAATTTGAGCAAGACCATCTCCGAGCAGGGATGCCGCGTGCGTATCCGCCGCGACGTCCGCATGCGCAGGCGCGATGGAAAGCCGACAGGAAACGATTTCGACACCAACCCCGAAAACGAATTCAGAAGTACGGCGAGGAGAACACAAACGCCAGAGATACGCAGCAACGCGGAACAGTTCCGGGCGAGGTCGTCGAGTAACAGCAGCGAGCACCGCGCCGCGTACCCGCCTGTTCCGGAACGCAAACCATCCATCATCGATAACTTCAAAGTCGAGACTTTCCAGGCGCCGCCACCACCGCCGCCGCCGCCGCCCATGTCATACGGCCCAGCCCCCTCCACCAATGTTCACTTGCGATTTGGATCTGATGCCTCGAGCGCACCGTACCCTCCCCATCAGTACGCCCAGCCTTCAGCGCAGCCGCCGCCCATTTCCCCGACCACGGCCTCGTACCAGTCCCAGCAGCCTTCGCCGTACCAGCCCGCTAGCTACGGCTACTCGAGCAGACCCAGCTCTCAGTACGCTTCAAGCAACCCGCCTCCCACACCTCGCGATTCTTACGACAGACGGCCATCTGCGATGATGGTGCCGCCTTCTCCTTCTGTGTACGGCCCCTGACCTAGGGATCACGACATGGTCAGGCGCGATTCGGACTACAGGAGAGATTCTCTTCCTCCTCGCCAGCTTGCTCCCGTTTCTGAGCTCCCGCACATGGGCACCAAACTCCCGCCTATGCTACCCTCGATCGAGAAGCTCACTGCTCCTCCGATGACGAGTCGCCCAGAATTCATTGAGGCTGCTCCTCCTAGCTCTCACAACCCTGTTTACGAGCCAGCACGCGCGGGCACCAAGCGTGGCTATGGAGATACTTTCGTTGATAGCAGCCGTCCTCTGTACGACAGGCAACGCCCGCAAGACCCCCACAATAGCGCTCCCTATAACCACCGCTACGTTGTTCAAGATCCGCTCGAGTACAAGCGTGCTGATGGCACATTTGGGGTCAAGCCGGCAAACGACTACTACAAGATTGTCAACCCCCAATGAGGTTCCGGTGCACTTGCTTGACGGCGTTTCGGCGGCTTCGTATTAAAGGCGGGGTGGTATTTGGCATCCAAGCGTTCTTGGGCAATGGGGCGTTTCTCAGGATCGGAGACAAACTTTTCGAATTGTATATACCAACGGGGAGTCATTCACCAATTTACGGCACCCCTCGGAAACCATTTTCTTCCCCTATGTTCCTCCCAACACTCAACACTCCCTACCATGTTGATGGCCGTTTTGCTTGGCCATGAGCGATCATCTTTTACTTTCCTACCATGTCTTACTTGATCATGATTCAGACTGGAATCGAAAACGAAACGACTTTTTTTTTCGGTCTTCACGAAGACCAGCACATCTGAGTGAGCTGTAATGTGTCATTGGTCTTACTTTGTTGTTTCCTTGTGTCTTTGTTGGGCAGGAGTATTGCATGTATTGACAGTGGCTTGTTCCACTGTGCCCCGTGGGCAATGGGGATAGTTCGTTTAAATTTTTGTATAGGAAAATGGAAAGGCTTCAATGCTAAAAGCTACTACATGTTCTGCGTGCCCTCTTTCGATGTTCATAAGTGAGGTGAGGCTCTATAGGTGAGATGAGTACCTCAAGGTTCATGTGAGGGATGGTCCCTGCGTCTGTGATGCGATGCGATGCGACGACGTGCTTGTGTCAACGCCGGATCCCCTCAGCTTTGTCGATCTCAATCTTGGCCAGTAGCGTGAGATGGATGAGATCTGTACTAAGGGTAGCCCGAGAGAACAGATGCATGGAATATGGGAGGCGTAGCGTGTGTGCGTGCTACGATCAAGCTACCTTGGATTGACAGCACCAACAGACGTAAATAGATAACAACCTAAGGTAAGGTAAGGCAGGACAGTGTGTAGGTAGGTAGAGGAAGGATGAGGTGAGAGGTGAGAGGTGAGAGATGGCCGTGCCTTGGATGTAAGGGGAGGAGCAGCAGGTCCAAGCGTCACGTGGCCAATGCTCTTCGGCCAGTTTTTAAGGTGAGAATGGCGAGGATGGCCCGGTGAAGAGCAACGCGCCAAGTGGAGGGCGGGAGGGTCGCGCGTCCAGGGACGAATGGGAAAATGTGGGCGCGTTTTGTTTGCCTGAGCAACGCAGCAACGGTCGATTCCACCCTTTTGTGCTTTCGCGGCCCCCAGTTGCCCATTTCGGCCCTTGGTTCGGGGAACAGCAGCCATCAGAGGTCAGCAACCCCGGCCGACATTGGACCATTTGCGGGTTCCCCCCCCCCCCCAAAAAAAAACGCACTACCCCTGGCTCCTTCATTGTTGGTTGCCGTTGCCCTTCCAATACGTTTGGTAGTACGAGATCAACACGCCTCCAAGCCCATCACGGTTCGTTACCTATTGCGTGTACCTTGCCTTACCTTTACTTTCCACCAACTTTGTATCTTCTCCCCCTCCCCCCCCCCCCCCCCTCCCCTTCTTTCCAACAACTACACTCTTCCCTCTCCACCCCACACTGCAAACAATACTTCAAACTCTCTCACCATCGTGTACACGCCTCATTGCGCCTTCTCCTCTGCCATCTGTGCAGGGAAGAAGCCCGCGACGACAGAGAGGTTGCGCCGCGTGCCTGCGCGGGTGCGGAGCGTGGCAGATGTAACGACAGAAAGTAAACAAAAACCCTTTCGGATGCCGCAGCATCGCATCGCCCGACAAAATCTTCCCCTCACCATTGCGTTCATCAAGGTCTAACGACACGTCGACATTTCACGTCTTCCCCCCGGTTCACCAGAGCTCAAGTAAAGAAGGACAGACGAAAAAGGTCGGATCTCGGCCGTCCATCACAAATCGCAAGAAACTCATTCAACACCTACCTTTCTGAACTAGACATTGGACCAAGCACGAAACGAAACAATGCCCATGTCAACAATGGAGGACCCGTCGGCGCCTGGTCCGCTGACCTCCCACCCGATCACGGGCCCTCCGTCAAGTAACTCGACGTCCAACGGCCAGCGGCCCGCGGCAAAACGATCAAACTCGTCGGCACAGCGCGCGAATTCCCGCTTTGTGGAAGGGTCAATGAACGATCGTACTTCGGCTGCGCCGCCAATCGACTTCCTCGGCCCCGAGGATTCGACTGAGATTGCGCGCCGTTTCCACATGGACTTTTACGTCGACGGACCCGACGCCGGGGTCTTCTCGCCTGAGAGACTTCGGTACCAGCAACAACAACAACAACAGCAGCAACGTCACCAGCCGCTGCACCAGCAGTCCCAGCCACTCCTGCACCAACCGACAATCACCTACGGCGAAGTTAAGAGACCCGCCAGCTCGGCTAGCAGCCACGTTGGAAAGAAGGGCTTCTGGGGCGGCCTCCGCGAGAAGCTGAGCTTCGTCAGGGATAAGGATAAGGGGGCTAAGCGCCCACTCAGCCTCGATGGCAAGCTCCTTGCTGAAGGAGGCGGGGCTGGAGGCTTTGGCAGCGGCAATGGCAATGGCAATGGCAACGGCAACGGCAACGGCAACGGCCTGGGTCCCATTGGGGCGCCGACCGCTGCCGCCATGCCTGCGCACTTCGCGAACAACGGCGCGGGCATGCCCAGCAGAGACGAGATCATGGCCAGCTACCAGCAACTTATGAAGGACGGTTTCTTTGATGCGCATGCTATCCGGTCCACGCGTCAGCCTCCCCCGCCCTCTTTCAACCCCTCGACCACCACGTACTCGACCAAGCCTCCTACGGACAAGAAGTCTTTTGCTGAGCGCGTATCTGGTCAGTGGCCTCTCCCGCCGACGGAGGAGGTTCAGCCTCTGCCAGACTCGCGCGACGGAAACAGGAAACGCGGCATGGACAATGATGAAGATATGTCGGCAGCCAAAAAGCTGCGCAAGTCCGCTTCCCGCATGTCCGTCGATCTCTCGATTCCCGGCCTCCGCAAGCAAAGGTCTCACGGCCAATCTGCCTCGGTAGACATGCCGCCCCCCAACTACATGCCGCCTCCGCCTCCTCCCAACTACATGCCTCCTCCCCCACCCCCTCGCGCTGTTGGTGGAGGTACTGTCTTCGTCCGCCGGTCGTTTAGTAACTCGAACCGCGCAAGCAACAAGCTCGCCAAGCACCAGCCCTCGTCCTCTCTCGGCCCGATGCCCATGGACACTGACTTCACGCCCCCGAATCCCTCTTACGCGGCTAGCACTCGCAGTAGCATCGATTCTAACGACTCGAGGCGATCCTTCCGCGAGGCAGCCCGTGCCTGGACTTCCCGCACCGCCCGCAAGGCAGCCGAGCCCCTGGGTCTGAGGCCTAACTCGAACCACGGCGCGGCGGCTATGCCGTGCGGACCCGAGCAGTTTAAGAACCGCGGGTTCGGTTGCGAAGGGGAGAACTATGGCGTTGCGCAGGAGCGCGAGCTACCTAGCCGATGGAGAGGTTTGACGCGATTCACCTAAGGGGCAAGCGAAGTGTTTGCTGCCCTTCAATGGTGGACTTTGCGACTGGCAAGACACATCTATGGTCACTACCACCATGGTGTGCTAGACTTGTGGGCAATGGGAGGAAGCATGGTGCTCATTAGAGACACTGGGGCCTTTCTGGACGAGCTTTACGACTTTTAACGACATGAAATGACCTTCTTTTTCTTTTACGAAATCAGCATCGACCGCGCAGTACGACCTTGTTTTGATCTTCACGATAGGTCTCGGGTAGGCGGACGCGCCATCTGATCTCCCTGTCTCAATGCCAACAACGCTCACCGCAGAGACAAAGAGCAGAGGACGATCTAGGCGTTAGTAGTCTACGGGAAGGACTTGAGCGAGGGATTATGGACTCGGACAAGACGATCAATGGTGTGGAAACAGAACAAAAGAAATGGGGAGGGGAGATGAGGGAGATGGGGGTCAGGTGATTCCTTTCCGACTGGAATTTCTGGCTCGATTTGTTTTCCCTGATGATTTCGCGTCTTCAAGTTGAGGAAGCTCTTTGTTTCTTTCTCACTTCATGTATGTAGTCGACATTTTGCGGTCTATCCCCTTTTTTTGCTGTCTTACCTCTTGGCTTTTTCGTATCTCGGGAGTAGCCAGTGGTAGATGGAGGGAAAGGGGGGATATCACGGTGTCTTCTTGTTTGGCGTCATCTTGTTATGTTGACGCGCAAATGTGTCGATATGGGGGATTGGGATGAGTGAAATATGGAGTTCTATTTTGATTTTTTGAGTTGTGTAGCTTTGGAAGGCAGGGTTCTGGGAACGCGGCTTGAGGAGTAGACGCCCGGCCTGGTAACTAGAGAAACGGGGAGATGTGTGTGTAGATAGTAGTCGAAGCCGGAGAGGTGGCGAGGGCGCGAGACTCCATGCGATTCCTTTTTGATCGTGGGGTGGGTTTGTCTCTGCTGCGAACCTTACTGGCTTGGGTGAGATCGATACAATACAGCCCTTTTTCTGCCTGCTGATGAAATATTGGACGTTAAGCTCTGTTTGGTTCTGTGATGTCAGTGAATGGATTGTGTAAGTGGGTGTAGTAGGTTTGTCTTCTGTCGATGAGGCGTTTCGAGGCGTTGTGATCTGGATAACGAGGGGAGCAGGGGCAGAGAGAGTCTCATAGGTCCTATTTAAGCCACGCCATTGATGTTCAGCTTGCATTTCCATGTACTATCTAGGGCGAGATGCCCTTTTGTGCCTTGTGCTACCATGTGGCGATCCACGAACGAATCGAAGGATAAAGGGTCTGAACTGCCAGTCCAGGTGACTGAGGTCTCTCAATACTGGCTACGTACCCCGTAGATGCTCTGGCAGCATGCCTGCCGTGACCCAGCCTCTGTGGGTGTATATCTGGTAGTGAATATGATGGAAGGGAGTGGTGAAGGCTGGTAGGATGTTGTTTTGATTTGAGGAGGTAAGTCGGCGTGTCCATGTCCACTATCATCTACAAAATTGCAGCGTAGAGAGGCTAGCAATGGACTCTTCCTTCATTCACAAGTCCATCGGGTGGGTGTTTGTTTCGTGGCATCATCGCCATCGTCCCTGACGTGGACTTGTGTCCTCTCGGTGAGACTTGCGTCCGTCTTCGCTTCTGGGGGTTATATAGGTTCATGGTCGATCGCTTTGCAAGTACCCACCTGCCTAGCTCACGACCCGAATACACGAAATGCGATTAGTTGAACTTGGTGAGCTGTCCAGGCCACTACTTAAAGAAGGGCAAAAAGTCATTGGAAAACTCCATGAGGCTTTAGGAGGGAAGAAACACTTCCCTCCGCCGTTTAGGATTATTGCGTTAATCATCATAACCATCGTCATCATTGACGTCGAAGACGGCCTCATTCAAGCGCGCCCCGCGAGTATTGACCAGGTTGCAATTGTGACCACTGAAGAAGGTGTTGCTTTATTTCCGAGGAGCTTTATGCGATCTCTATCGTCACCTGTAGCGGGGTCAGATGCAGAGAGAAGAGGGTGGCGTAACGGGGGTTGACAGCAGACGAACAAGTTCATCGAGTTGATGTATTTGACCGCGGATGTCACTTTGGGATGCGTACCCCATGATTTGGAGAACTAATACAAAAAAGCTCATTCAGGCTTGAACTGACTGACCATGAGTGTTAATCAGTGCTTCGAAACAACAGGGGAGCTTGATTGGAGTGCAAATCGTGATGTTTATGTCTCCTCATTCTGAGTTGCTGAGGACCCGCTGACGACTCAGACCTGATGATGTTCCGCTTCCCCCCCCCCCCCCTCCTCCCCATAAGAGGCACTTCTTAATCATGTACAGTCAAGTTTGAAGAGGAGATTGATGCCTGGCGAAGGCTGGGCCTTTCGAGCTCAAGTTTCTCCCCCCTACTAACAATTTTCCCTTTAGTAACCTCTTTCCCCTTAGTGACCTCTTTTCGCACTCCTCATATCGCCGGCGGGCAAGACGCCTGTCATACTCCATCCATTTTTCAGGTCATGTCGTCGACTTTGACAGTGATGCACTAGACCTTGTACCTGCCCACAGAGGAGAGCCTCCTCCTCTTCGACGCTGACGTCTAGTGGAATCAACTCAGCATGCTCCAAATCCACAATGCAAAGTGCATATCCGCACAAGGGGACGTTACACGGGTCCAGATATTCCAGCCGAACGCCATGTTGACGGATGAGACACAGTGAACGAGAAATCATTCCCTCAAAGTCTGTCGCTGAATCAAGTCGCAGTAGTTCCTCCTTGACCATCGAAATCCCGCTAACATCTGACAAGAGGTGCGCTCTCCTGCCCGTAATGCTCGCGAAGCCTAGGTATCTCGGTATGATGCTTCCTTGCAGCGGCCGCAGCCGGTTGTAGATGAGAGCCTCGTTGTTGAAGAGGCCCGTCTTTACCGGATCGAAGAGGTGCCTTCTCTTCGGATACTCTATCTTGAGAACCACGTTCTTGGGCAAGGTTTCCTCGACATGATCCGGTAGCTGGAGCTGAAGGACAGTTTCGTAGAAGGTATGCTTAGATCCGCCCAGGTAAGTGGGTCTCCCACGTACAGCTATGATATCTGACTGGAATGAGAAGACGTACTACAAGATGATTAGTATCAGCGTAGAAACATGTTGGTTACGTGATTGGGCTGGGCTTGGGGCGCTCACCTCGTTGCTCATTTTGAGCGATCATGAAGAGTGTAGTCAATGAGGCATGAGTATCAATTCAAGCAAGTGTCGTGGAATGAGCATATACTCATGGCCTCACTCGTTCTAGATATATCTCTCAGCTACAAGTACCTTTTTCTCAGGCTTTCACGACTGCCTAGCCCAGCATCTTCCCTCATCAGTTCACCATTGGCAATTTTTACAAGGCATATATACGATCGGTTTCGGACTGGCACGTACAATTTCTTCTATGTAGAACATAGAGCAGTAAAAAAACACAACATGAGGGGAAGCGGAATGCTTTAGAGTATCCTTGACACAAAGCCACTGACAAGGGCGCTTAGTTTCGGTGGTGCCAAGGGGTCTAACTTTGAGCGCGATGTCAACGATGAGATGACGTATATGCATAGAAGCTCGGCCAAACCAAGGACCTCTCTACTGACCGGCGAGATCAGTCAGGTATCTGATCAGGAACGGAATAACCTGAAGTAATGTTATAGATTCAGGTACATGGATCTACTTCCTCTGGCCAGACCTGTTGGTGTTATTATTTTGTTCCCTCCCACAAGAGGCATCCCATAAGTCACGATGAGCCTAGGCAATGGAGAAATAAGGAGCAAAGATAGCTTGGAACTTGCGATCTCCAACATTACAAGACCGTAGGAGTTGGTCTTCCGTTACTTTAAACCCGTACTGGCTGGTTCTCTCCTCTCTATCAAGTTTATATCTTACTTCACTTCTGCGTTTTTCTAATAAGATATTTATACAGACTTGAGAACCCATGGAGCTTGGCACAGTGAGTGCCCTCCACGGCTAGATTGAATGTGTAGATGGAGTTGCTGGAGATCACCCCCTCTTTGCCTACTTGGTCATCTTACGCTTCCTCAATCACCACATACGACCATACCCATTGGAAAACTCGGGATCCCGTCCGCTCTCCCATAGATAAGCCAATGAGGGCCGGATTAGTAGTTGGGTCGGTGACGACCAGCGAATACCTGGTGTTGTATGTTTTTGATTCATTTTTGATGCTTTGACCTTGTTGTGAGGGTGGGTTGTGGTGGGTGACGATAGCTTCGTTTTTTTTGGTGTTTGGGGCGGTGGTGCGGGGTTGAGATTTCAGCTATGCGGGTCTAGCGTGGCTAGCGCTATTGGCATGGTCTGGGTGTAACAGCTTCCAGTATTCACCCAAGCATGAGTGGGCTGGAGGCATATTTCTTCTGACTGATGGTCAGGGTCTTTGTCTCTACAGCTCAGTGTAAGTTTCTCCACGTCACTCAAGATCGAGATGATTTATAAGAAGCTACTAGAGCCGTAGGTTCCAGCTGGAGTATCTGTCCTGATGTTCAGCTATAATATGTCACACTCCCATGGTCCTTATCTTACAATTTCCTCAACTGATGTATACCCGATCGACAGTTACCAATTGGGGTCGGGCACAAGATAGTGACAACTTTGCGGGAAACTTGTTCGTCGGACCAGTTCCTCACTGACCACAAAGATCGTAAGTGACTCCTCCCGATAAAAACTCACGACTCTTCTCCACGGGCCCTCGTTCCTCTTGTATTCGTCCTCACGAAGCAGACGACAATGGCGGAGCTTACAGGGACGAACCACATGGGAAAGTCGCTACAGTGATCTTACAACTTTGAGTTGGCAACCATGATTAGATCGTTTAGATGAAAATAACCCTTTCAAGCCATGGTCATTATCTGGAAGCTCCACATCGTTATCGGCAATAGAGTTGGCTTTGGGCTGGTCGGAACTCCGTGAGTGCGTGCTGTTGAGCACCGCTTTATACCTGGGCAACCCGGGGTAAGGCAGGCGTAGCCACTACGAAGCTGATCTGTTGAATTTATTCTGTTAAGCTCCATGAATACCGCCAACAAGGTTGACCGTCTAGCAAAGGAGAACTCAGAGAGAAACACCATACTGGCAAATCCACCTAAAAGAAAACTGCTGTCCGGGTGGACGAAGCTGAGAAGCTCCGTCGTGACGTGGCTGCTAAGAGGCATACCTGTCTCTTCCCAGGGTCGAACACACTGTTACGCTAATCTGAACTGGAAGTCTGTTGTGTACTACGCTGAGGCTACCCAGTTGTTGGCGAAAGAGTGAACAGTTTTTTAACCTTAATGTATGTACTTCCATACTGGCTCTCTCAGAAATTGAACAAAACTATCACGCTTATACGTTGCCAGGCCTCTTTTCAGATACAAGTACGCGTGAACCAAGCAGCCTCGGTCTTTGGCGAGCAATCAGGCCTTTAACACTTACACTGGAGTTCACCAGATGCTTACAGGTGTGCTGAGTTGTAGTTACCTAGAGTGAGTGTTCTTCTTTCAGGTGGACGAACTTAATCGGATCATATAGAAAACAAAAGGGGGGGGGGGCATTTGAAGGAGTCCTTGTACATATTATTCATGCGGAGACGTCTTTTAGTTATGTGCTACGCTCGTCTTGCCAGAAATATGTTTGGAGTGCAGTTTATTTGGTCTTAAATGCAATCCTTGGCCTTTGTAACCACTAGTGACGGCTAGTGTCGTCAGGTATTTGATTAGACATCTGGATATTGATCAATCAGAAGATCACCACATTCCATGATCATGTTGAGCCTGAGACGCCTACATATGGTCTCATTGAGCAAGGAACCATGCTGAGACGTTACGGAGTAGCTCGTCTTTCGGGTCTCATGCCGGACCTGCGCGTCTTACCTACTTGCTAGGCTTATTAAATTCACGAAGTTGGCATAGAGCTATCGACTCATTGGAGCTTGGATCACACAGCTTGATACATATCAGGGTAGTCGTTCATGGGGGATATTCGAGTAAGTCAGCTGCTGTTCAGCACTTGAAGGTAAGACCAATGGCGAATTTGCAACGGAGAGCAAATTTTACATTAACCTTCCAAGGACGGCTGTCCAATTATTCAAGAATATAGTGAAGTTGTGGCGAGATGAACTCAAAGACTCGTCCCGAGATAGGTATCAAGCTAGGTCGAGGTGAGTTGTGCCTTCAAGAACTCGTAGGATCAGGGAATGCAAAATCATGCTTTCCTGTATACGTTGAATGAACAGCACCAAATGTATATTCAGGAGGCAGTCACCAGCGTCGGAGGTTTATATGTAAATACTCTCCTACTCTGAGCACTATCGGATGAGAATACGTCTGGCGCAGTAGTTGCGACTGACCACTCGCAAGAACACACAAAGGAACTCAACCCTAAATCCCCGTCCCAGCCACTCTTGCCCCTTTATATCATCTACGATCTTACACGATACCGGACGCGCCCGGCCTCTAGGGGTACTATGGCAAATGGGAGCATTAGTGATTATATTAGGTAATATCATCTAACCTACAAAGAAGACAGACAAACACTGGAATATTGAATAGGGCTTCAGAATCACTACTACGCTCCTCCAGAAGCCCCAGCCGCAAGTATCATCATCTGCTGCATCCTCCTCCGGTCAACCTCCTTCTTCAACATGCAGACGCAACTCGCGACAACCAGCACCTCCGCCGCCTCCCTCCTGCCGTCCTTCGACTCAGCCCACCTCATCACATCGAGCATCAACCGTCCCCCATTCCCCGCTGTTGTCCGCCCCGTACCTCGAGTCCTCGTCTCCTTCCCACGTACGAACTGCGCAATCCTCGTCCTGCTCTCCTCCGTCTTTTTACCACCAGCCAGCGCAATGGTCTGCACAAGCTCGCAGACGAGTAGCTGGTCGGCGCCAGGTATGGTAGCGCGTTCTTTGCGTGTGGCGTGACGCCACTGGAAGATACCCAGAGGCGTCTTCAGGATCTGGGTGCGGGAGGTGAGGGACTTGGAGACGATTGGGAGGTCTGCGCCCACATCTACCTCGCTGCCACTAGTCTGCTCTTCTTGGAATGAGACCTCTGTCGAAGAGGAATCAGGAGAAGCGGAAGACGCAGGTGCGTGAAGCGCCGCGAGGGCCTGCGACGGTCGAAAGATGGGAGGCTTCCCCGGCCCGAAGCGGTAGAGCGTCGTGCAGACAGGCGTCTGGGATGCGTCGTCGCCTCTCAGGAGGTGGCAGCTTCCGTCGTTGCGGGAGAAGCGGAGGGACATGTACGCCGGGATAGACTCCGCGCTCCAGGAACCCGCTTCGACATGGTAGATTGCGATCGGGTCTGGTCGGGTGCCGATGGGGAGCGAGAGCCATTGCTTTCCGGTGGTTTCAATCTGGAAGTGCACTGTGGGTGTGAAGGCATCTTCTAGGGAAGCAGGTTCTGAGCCATCGCCGATGCTTCGCACGGTTTCCATGCCTCGCGAGACCACGGTTGTAGTTTGATCGTAGGCGAGTGGCGCGAGGCTGAGGGAGGATGAAGTCGATGGTGAAATTTCTGTGAGCTCGATGCCTGTTGCTGAGGAATATGTAGGCAACGACGAATTGCTGGGGACAGTATGCAGTCCGTCTTCGACGATCGTGGCCGACATGGTGAACACAGATAATTGAGGTAGTCTTCAAATCGATGAGGTTAGAAGGTCGAAGGTGTCTCTATTGTGAAGTAGAGATAATTGTGTCTGAGGGCGCCGTGAACGAGAGGAAGGCGATGCGGGACACCGGGAAAGATGCAGTTCTGCTTTCTGACCAGGAAGGAACCCCCCTTGACTTTATCCTTCTCATGCATCCCGAGGCTTCCATTCACTGCGGCAATGCGATATGACGGAAGGCGTACTGACATAATTCCTTGCTAGAAAAGCCTACTCAGACACTGCCCGCCACCAAAATCAGTCGAATGCGAGGAATGCGACGACTGCGGACTTTTCTGTGCGGACTTTCCACCGGTTCAAAACTCAATTTTTCATCAATGGGCCTCGTGATTCTCCAACCAATTGAAATCCATCAAGTACATACTTGAAAACAAGACGTAAGACGCGCAGTAGGCCCTCGAGATAAGACCCGTTGTGGCCATGTTGAGGGAAGGTTGGTAGTCTGTCAGCCCCCAAGAAAGCTTCACTTTCCAAGGCTCAGCTGCTTCGAGACAAATACCGATCCCACCCCCGCCTGTTAGCCTTTTAACCGTATTCCTCGCGTGTCTTGCTTTCTTGGTAGCTAATCGAGAACCGACACAAATTGGGCATTCTTCAGCCGAATCTGTCGTCCATACAAGCCTCGTCAGTCATCCTCTCGGATGCCAATTGGTTTGCACGGCCCCACTCCCGGCCGTCGTATTCCTCGTTTTGTCCAAACCGTCCAATCATATACGCCACCACCGGGGCGGTGCGCTGTGGTTGACGGGGAGGGGCAGTGCCGGCGGGCGGTGACGAGTGGGGCTGTAAACGACACTCACCGAGATATGTCGCCTTGTAAATGAGGATCGACAAGATCTCATCCCTTCTCCCGCCCGACCCAGCTTCTAGGGGGACTTTATGCTTGTTTTCTTTGGGTCTTGGTTGACACGTGAGAAAGTGGGCATTGAATCTGAGGAGTAGACTTCTCTGTTGGATGCTTAGCTCATCGAAGCTTGTCTGGTGTATCGTGTCCAGCTTTGCGGATACGATGGAACGTTTCATTTGAGCAACTGAAGTCATTCTTGTTTTGAAAGTGTGATAGAAGATCATCTTGATCTTGAGTACTCTGGATAAGTCGAAGCTAGTTTAGAAGAAGTAAAGACGTCCTGAAAGACAGCCTCATCTGGACAATCGCTGCCAAACCCTTTTTTCAAAACTTCTTCCCAAAAAAGGACAGATCCCGGTTCAGCTGCTCTTTCACCCACAGAGGCCACCGATTATACACCAAATGCTCATGATCAACCTCTCTATTGAGATGCCCCAGCCACCGGATGATGCCTAGATCCACGGCACTCTCCTTGGGCGGCGCCTTCTCGCGACACTCATGCTCGGCATTGGTCACCGTGGCCATGATCTGCTTCAGCGCGATCCAGTGGCTGGCCAGGAGGACCATCGTCTGCGAGGTCATGTCGATGACGCGCTGAAACTTTTCGTGCGGAAGCTGGATCCACCAGCCGTAGTGCTTTGAAAGTGTCTGATACGCTGTTGGAACAAGTCGTTTGTTAGTGTTCGTTCTCAAAAGCCCGCAGAGCGACAGGCTGGCGATTATGTGTCGTAGGGGCAACGACTTACCCTTCCAAGACGAAGTGTGAAGCTTTGTCGCCATATCCAGAAGGAGATCAAAATACTCAATCTCCACCCCGTCCCGACAAAGCCCTCTCAGCCCGCCAATGGCTTCAACAGCACCGTCAGCCCATTCTTTCCGAATCAACGGCAGATCCACCATCTTGGGCTCCAGCACCGCGCTTGAATCCTGTCCCATCAAGTTCACAAAGATGGGCTTGATGCCCTTGATGTACATCTGCGTGCCAATGATCAAGATGCCGCGGATAAAGGTCATGTACTCAGTCATCCCGTCCTCTAACGATACAGATTGGAACGTGAGCGCGAAGCACGTCGCGACGAGGGCGTTGGCGTGCTCCGACGTCGTGCCCCTCTGCTTCGGCAGCTCGGCAAGTGACTTTTTGATGGCTTTTATGGCCTTGACGCGGTGTGCCATGGCAAATGCCAGAAGGCTTGGGTCTGCATTCATGAGATCGCATGCTGCCATGCCGAGGATCGCGTGCATGAGGAACTCGTTCTTGATTATATGAGCAGGTTACTTCTGACTTTACATCATTGAGAACTTACGGTTTGAGATAAGCATGGAACCTCATGAGTCCAAATGTTTTCGTTACCTATAGGGTGGTGAGGGTAGCATTGTAGCATGAAGTGCTGGAAGAACCGCATATCTTGTAAGCTGAACAGTGGCACTTGATTTTGTGGCTTGTTGCAATACGTTAGAAAATCTCTATGGATTGCACATGTTAAATTTGACGAACCTGGTGTATAATTGTTGGAGCATTGGCATACTCGCACTTCAAACCCATTTTGGTACAGTGGCCACATGATGGATGTGTCTCTTGGCACTTTGATACGTAATGTCAGTATGCGAGAGAGTAGCTGTTGAAGTTGCGGGTTTACCTTGATCCGCCTTCTCTTGCAGTTGAAGCACCCTCTGCGACTTTTGGTATGCCCTCGCCTCTCAAGGCGCTGTTTCTGAGCGGGGACATGTTGGAATGAAGCTTCTCCGCTTGGACCTGTAGCGGAGGTTTTGTTCGTGGGTGACTCGGAAAGTGTCTCGCTCGAATACATATTCTCATCCCCGAGTAACATGTCTTCACCTTGGAAGAAGGCCCCATAGTCAAAATCATTGAAGCTCGGGGCGGCTGCGATGAGAGGAAGTGATGACCGAGCGGTGTTCATGATGCTGCAATTTTAAGCTGATCAGACTGGTAAGGGGCCTAAAAGCCAGTGTGTGAATTTGACTATAGACGGTTTGGACCGTTTCAATATTAATGAATAGCTTCAAACGGTCAACCTGCATCGAATTGACGTCGCTTTCAGCTCAAGCTAGTGCCAAGGCAGCCATGTCACGTGTGGCATGAAATATTGTCATCGTGGCAGGGCGTCGGACGATTGATAGGCCGCCACAAGTCTTAGATCAAGCGTTGCCAAAGATGATTGGCTGCTGATCATCAATAATCGCGACTGATCTCGGTATTGTGGAGGCTGTGCTTTGCAAGGCTGTCTGGGGAGATTGAAGAAGTCCCTTCCTGTTGACTGAACGATGCCATCTAGGCTTTGATGTAGTATTGATAAAGTGCAGACTTAGTTCGCCGCGCCGAGTTGGTGGTGTGGGAAACTTGGTCTCTTCAGAACAAACGGCTGCCGGCGTGGGGTGAGACGAGGCGCCCGCTCTCCTCTACGCCCAACGCTGGAAAGATTTGCCGTGCTCTACCTTGCCTTCAAGATCCCAGTGTCTCTCAAACAAACTGTAGAGATTGCGGGTGATCATCACACTCGATCGTTTGATCCATTTAGTTGCACCACCAATGGAACAGAGGAGATATTAGGCAGGAAACAACAAACTCGGTCCCCAATCCCGGCAACTTCATCGAGGATTCGAATCTGAAACCGTTTGTCAAGTGTAAGTGCTGAAAGGCGTCTATTGATGCTGAGGAGCTGGGTGGCATCTATTTCTTGCCTAGAGGCGCACTTCTAGGGTATGCGATTCCTGGAGGATGTAGCGGCTAGGTCTCACCACGTTCAGAAACAAGCCAGTACAGTTCACTGAATAAATGTTTACCGGATAAGGTCTCGGTCAATCGAGGTAAAAAGTCATTCCGCTGCGTGACGTGCCAAGTTTTCTGGCTGTGAACCCGGGACCGTCGTCTTATGGTCAATGGTGGTCTTCGCCTTCCTTGCTGTCGGATGAGCCTGTGTGGGACTCTTGGAACTGATTTGGTGTCCCGAGCAAACATAGCAGCCGAGTGCCACGCCGCTGTTCTTAAGTTGACCTTTCCGGCTCATTGGTGGCATCATGTTCTGACTGCGTAGGTGCAGGTAATGGTGCAGGTAATCCTGCAGGAGTAGACTTGAATAGATACCAATGGCTGCAGCTGGCCCGACACTGTTACATGTGGGAGGACAAACATATGAACAAGAAACAATTATCCTTGGACGGAACGAAAAGCGCAGAAATACCTACCTACTTACCTAGAGCTGATGTAAGGAAGCTGGAGTGGCTTGCAGCATGCAGCCTGCAGGTAAGACATATGTCGGGAAGAAACGCGCCGGATTCCAGTGTGAGGAAGCTTGAGTAACCATAAAGTGAGTATTATGGGACAACGTTGAAGTCGGTATCCTCTGTGCGCTCCTTGTTGCGCATAATACAGCACAACCTTATTCAAGATTGACATCGGATGAAAGTAATGCGTCTGCTCACTGGCTACCCTCGAGGTCGGCTGTTCGGATCGTGGGTGCAACTATCCGGCGTTGAATGATATCGGGCGGGTTTGACAAGATACAAAGAAGCAGAGCTAAACGGCTGGCAGTGCCGAAATGATTACGTACATCGTGATGAATCGTACTATTTAAGTGCAAAGCCTCGTGTCCTAATATTGTCGGACCTTGCGCGGGCCAGGGCTCTGAGTCGCGTGCTATGGAAGTCGGCTTCAGCCTCTGAGCCACTGAGCCTGGCAAACTGGCAGTGAGCCAGGATGATCTGAGCGTCCAGAACGGTATTGAATGCCCTGATGGAGGACAGCGGCCGGCATGGCAGTCCCGGGTCATGGAGCCGGGTGACATTCCGAGGCTCTAGCCTCGGCGTGGCGCAGTGTAGCCCTGGCTGTCGCATCCCGGCACGTCCTGCCCTGGGCTGGAAGAGGACGAAATCCTGCTCAACTAACAAGCTTTGGATGATCCGGAGGGCTGGCCGCTGGCCTCATCGGCTCTTCGTCAGGGCGGGCAGGGAAGTAACGGGACGGACTGGGCGAGGAATGAATGTGGGCGGCTGTCAGAAAAGGGCCAAACAGGTGGAAGTGAAGTGCCAAAATGGGCGTTGTGTTGGAATGAAATGGTCCTCTGATGGATGGGATTCGCTGGACGTGTGCCCCGTGGCGGCGGAAGCTCATTTCGCTTAGGGTTTCACAGCCGGCGCCCTGGGGTCTGGCTTGCCCGGATTGCTGGCCCTGCCAGGTCTGACGTTGTCGAACAGTCGTGGAATCCCCCGAGTCGACTCCATCTCCCACGCTGAGAGTCTGGACTTGGTGCGCGGCCGATTCTTCCTGGCGATCCATCTGGCTCCACGTAACCGGCTAGCCGCAAAGAGGAATTTGCGTAAAGGGTCAAGACGACGCCAACGTGGGGCCAGCCCAAAGTGGTGAAACGGGTCAAGAGCGCGGGTCTTATCGTGCTCACACGAATAGTCGGCTCGGATTGGGCCCATTCTCCCATGACAATGGCATCAGTCCTTCGGGTTGTCCCAAGCGCGGGGCTGCCGTCCCAAGTCGACCGTTGTCATCCTTTGTTCGTCTGATGCTGAGCGCTGCGGGACGGGATACGAAAGGTGGTCGTAGGGCCCGCCCTGCCAACCAAAGCCATTCGCCAGGCCAACTGGGACTGTTCACGTTCAGCCTGAGGGCCTCGTCAGTATTGGACTCGTGGCCAGCGCCGCGCAGTCGCTCAAAGGAAGCCCTCCCCCCAAGGAAGGTGACTCGTTGGCTCAGAGGCTTCACTGAGGGCCACGCAAGGGCAAGCGAGACGATGAAGGGGCTTTTCTAAGCGGCAATGTCCGGCGGAAGTCATGCTCTGGTTAACGATGACAATTCTGGACGTCTCCCTGGTGATAGCGTGGGACTCTTGCCATGAGAAAACCATGGGCTATGGAGGTCGACCGAGAGAGGAGAGGGAGCGGGGGCCAAGGCAATAATGACGATGTTGGAGAATAGTGACTTGGTGTTGGAGGCGAAAAGAGAGGGATTTTTCTGCAGCAAGAAAGTGTCCTCAATAGCAGAGCGACTAAGATGTTGGCGGAGGCACAGATAAGGTAGTCAACCACTGACCCGAGCGAAAGTCAAGGCTTTTCATGTTGCACTCAGCAACGCGGCTAGCCAGTCGAGCCTAAAGTGCTAAACTCAACGGTTGAAATGGCGACAGATGTGGATAGGCGATGGTAGGTACTTCGTAGGTATGGAGGTATGGAGGTATGGAGGAACAAAACGACGTTCTGATTCTCACCTACCATCGGCTGCCACCTGTGCCTTCCTTTCTCGCCAGCCAGTGCGTGCATCAACTTCTTGCAGCCGCTGACTGGCACGACTGGGTCGGGTGGAGAAGGGGGGCCGGCGGTTGAGGGGATAAGCAAGGAAGGCGACTCTGATGGGGAGGTATCTTTTAGCCGCGATGGCACTCAAAAGATACGAGACGAGGTCGTATCCAGCGACGTATCCTTGGCGCCCGGTGTTTCCAAGGTTGCGCCGTGGTGCCGGTTCCTGCAGCATTTGCCCCCCGTTCCTGCATAAGCCAGGGGTGAAAATGGCGCTTCTTGGTCCATTCGCCGCTCAGCCGTTGGCTCTTCCATAGGTCATTCTTCCAAGTTCTAAGCAGCAAACCTTCCCCCCCTCTTCTTGGCTCTTTGCTGCTTGGTGTCACTGAGAACTTGGAGCTGGCGAAAAAGGCCAGCCCAGCAGTGGAAGGGCGAAAAAAGTCGTAGGCGAGCGCTAGTCCGTCACTGAGGTGTGAGTGGGCGGCAACCCAAAACAATACAGATGTGACTGTTCGTTTCTCCCTCGTTTGGCACCATTCGACTAGCTATTGAAGCTGGATCTGGTCAATTTACCAATGCCCTAGAGTTAGTGAGCCAGGAGCCAATGAAACCGAGACTCCATTAATTAAGGAATAGAGCCCAAATATTAGCTGGAAGAGGGAAATGGACCTTTGGCGCTGGAACACAGATCCTTGGCAACTGAACAATGGCATTGAGTTGAATTGTGGTGACTGACCTGCTTGGAATGTGTCTTATGTCACTGTGGATGTCTCTGATGCTGCCAGCCCACGATTCACCACGGCAGTTCCTTGGGTTCTCCGCTCCGGGCAGCAATTTTTTGGAGGGGATCGAGGTTGCAGAGTCGAGGAACTCCTGGGTAATCATCTGTCATCAGGACGCAACGCCAGCACACCATCCCGGTTGTGCTGAGTGCCTCTCCCGTCTGCCAAAGAGTCAGTTCAGTCTAGGAAGATCCAGAGTGTCCAGACCACAGGGGGACCAAGCAGGAACCACAAAATTGGCCAGGATCTGCAGAAAAAAGCATGGCCTGTGAGTCGCTGATCCCCCCGATAAAAAAACAAAATCTGGACAAGAAATCGGACGAAGCAATGGGACAAAAAGCTCTGATGAACTGCCCGGGGGGAAGACAGTTCCCACTCTACTCCGTAAGATCCATAAAGTTCCGGAGTACAGAGCACCTACTGCGTAGATATCGATCACATGTGGGCGACCACGTAGAAGGGGTTTTTTTTTCATGCAGGTCCAGCAAAGAGAAGAGTCGTTGAAATGTGTACCTTACGGATACTTAGCTGTCAACCACGACAGCGACCTGAACAGCACCGACCAAAAAGGGCCGCAAGTCAGGGAGGTACGTAACTCCATCAGGAAGACGAGTGACCACATCCCTTCCCGGAAAGCGCGATACATCCGGCCCGCTTGCCCCCTGCCTCTCCTAGTGCGCGCGGATAGGCAGGTACGGAGAAGGGGTCACCACGGTGGTTTGTACCTCCTCCCTCCTTCCTTGTGGTGAATCGAAAATCAGCCCCGTTGGCTCCAGTCAGAGTCGTACCTCTGCCATGGGTGGTGTCTCTCTTCTCTGTAGCCCCGATGGGTCGGGATCCACAGTCCGCACCTGCTTCCCGCAGCCCAACTGCACCTGCATCTGAAGTGCCTCCTACCTGCCCACAACCGATCGTTTCCCACGCTCCTTCCTCCTGGTCGACCTCACCTTCCCATGTTTCCTTCCCTAGTCCCTGCTTGAATTTGTTTTCTTCCCGGCACTCAGTCACTTGCCTTCTTAAACTCCCTTCCTCCCCCACACTCTCCCTTCTTTTTGTTTCCCCCCACCTCACACCAACCGGCTTGCCTGTCCCTTCTTCAGTCAACAACACATTCCTTCACCAACGGTCGCCAGCCTCGACCTTGCGTACAAAAGCAGTTCGTTGTCAACCCAACTCACCAACAACAACCGCAAACCACTTTCTTTTTTCGCGTCTTTGACAGACCGAACAACCAGCAACAAGAATACACCACTCCTTCTGTGTATCCAGTGATTTTCCACCCTCCTTCCAAGGCCGGTACTTCACACATCGTCAACCTCGTCGAGAAAGAATTCGTCAACAGCTTTTCCCACAAGCACCTTCCTCGATCAACACAAATCTCACCCATCAATCTCACCAATCTCTCACACAAGTACAACACCACTCGAAATCAGCCAAGATGTACACCAAGCAGGCTCTTTCCGTCGGCGCTGCCTCGCTCGCCCTCGTCCAGCAGGCCATGGCTTTCAACGCTCATCGCCACATTCACCAGGACAAGCGCGCTCTCAAGTTCGATGTTGTCACTGAATGGGTCACCATCACTGTCGGCGGTGATGAGTCGGTTCCTGCCGCCACTCCCACTCCTACGCCCACTCCTACTCCTCAGCCTGCGGCCCCCGAGGCCCAGTACACTCCCACCACAACTTCTACCTCCATTGTCGTGATTCCTACTCCCACTCCCACCCCGGTCTACGCCACCCCCAGCACCACTCTCGTCAAGTCGGTTGCTCCCAAGTCGTCTTCCCAGGCTCCTGTCGCCGAAGCCTTCTCTGAGGCCGCCGTCGCTGTTGCCGCTGTGCCTTCTACTTCCTACGCCAAGGCCACTGCTTCAGCCGTCGTCAGCTCCAGCTCCAACTCCGAAAAGGTCAAGAAGCGTGGTGTCGCTTACAACGATCCCACCAAGGTCAACGCCTTCTTCTCGGGAACCACCCAGAACTGCGGCTGGGCCTACAACTGGGACTCTGCTGACAACGGCATCACTGCCACGGGCGTCGACTACGTCCCCATGCTCTGGGGTCCCATCGACACCCACACCGCCCGCTGGGACGAGAACGCTAAAGCCTCCATCAAGAAGGGCTCTACTCACATTCTGAGCTTCAACGAGTGCGACATGCCCTCTCAGTGCAACCTTGCTGCCTCCGAAGCTGCTGTCCAGCATAAGAAGTACATGAACTCCTACAAGAATGATTACAATGTCATGATCGGAGCCCCTGCCATCACCAACAGCAACATCGCTGGCCAGGGTCTCGACTGGCTCAAGGCTTGGGTCTCTGCCTGCGAAACTGAAGGCTGCATCTACGACTTCTGCGTCACCCACTGGTACTCTCCCTCCACCGCTGCCGACACCCTCTTCAGCCACCTTGAGGCCGTCCACGAGGCCTGTGGCGGCAAGCCCGTCTGGTTGACCGAGTTCGCTCCCTTCGGCACCACCGATGAGATCTCCAGCTTCGTCTCGACCAACGTCCCCAAGCTCGAGAGCCTGTCGTACCTCGATCGCTACTCTTACTTCATGGCTTCCGACGGCGTTCTCAACTCCGGCTCTGGCCTGAGCGCCCTCGGCCAGGTTTACGCCGCCGCTGCCTTGGTTTGAAGCAGGAACGGCTGACTTTCTTCGATTCTGGCACACAATTCCTAGCGACGGCAAATGTGCATTTTTGGTTCACCGGGATTTTCGGGTGGGCAACTTTGAGAAAGTGGACAGACATTTTCCCTTTTCTTCTTCTGCTGTACATACAGTTAGCCACTTTCTCTTTTTCGGGACTTTCGCTTTTCACATTCAGGGGTAGTCACTCGCTGAATATTTTCTCCACTGGATGTTATTTTGGGTCGGGTTCGACTCTCAGGGTATACCCGACAATGGTGTTTGCGGACTTTTTCATAAGAGGGGAAACGGGCTCCAGGACGATCCATACGCGGACCAAAAGGATAGACTCACGAGCTACGAACACATGGAATACCAGGCTGCATAAGCCAAGTTATCACATCATGATCTGTCTCTCAAGTGACATTGCCTGCCAAATACTGTGATGTCGTTGCGAGGTGTTCCAAGGAAGAACGTATGTCCGGATACACCTTGATGGTAGGTTCATTGTCTTCTATGCTGATGGTGGGTTAGGCCGGCGGTAACCAAATCCCGTCCCGTCCTTCGATCTCGCGCGCATTTGCTCGCATGCTCTGCAGTCGGGTGGACAATTGTTCCTGTGAAACGGACGCAAGAAGTACCTTAGGCTGTCGGGCGCAAAGCAAAACGAAACTTATATTACGGGAAGCCTCGGTGAACGTTCTCACGGCCATCACATTCCGTTCCAGCGGCACGCCCCCATCATCAACAAGTTCCGTTCGCCGAACCATTGCCCAAAGTGGAAAGAGAGCTCGAGAGGGACACAAGACGTTATGGCACGGTACGATACGGTGCGCAGAGCGTTGTTTTTTAGCTTCACCTGGGGGATGTCACAAATGCCCGTGCACTGATTGGGAGCCCGGGAGTCCCATACTTGGCCCTTGCCTTTGTGGGAAGAAAAGTGTTGCGTTTCTTACGTAGGTCGTAGCTCTCCAAGGGCAAGAAGCTTTTCACCGCGGGGTTTGATGACACATACTGAGGGAAGCGGACGGATAAAGCTGTACCTAGGTGAGGTGGTGATGGGGCGAGAAATCTACATGCCGAGCTGCTCGTTCTCGTAGCGATGTGATGGACGTGAACTCTTTCTCCATGTGTGAGGAGGTTAGGAGAGGTGCCAAGGGAAGCCGAGTCGGTAGGCGGCAGAGTGAATCACGCTAATAGGGAGTGGGTTCTGTTTTCGAGAGTTGAGAAGAGATTATGAGGTTTGTGGGAGTACGGCTTATGATGTGCTTAGTGATCAAGTATGATGTCAGCTGCCTTTCGATGGGGCTGTTGCATGCGACCTTGAGATGAAGACCGTTCAGCGCTTTGCCGCCGGCCTATCTTCACCTTCAATTAGATCTGTGACTACCAAGCCATGAGGTCCGCGTTGATAATTAATCATTTCGTCATTTAAGGTATTCGTGAGAGTCTCGGGACGCGCCTTCGCCTCACCCGAGTGGTTCGTTTCCTAGGGCGTATCCTACTCATTGAGAGTGAAAAATGATACCGGATACAGAAGCTCCATGCAGCCCGGTGATACCCAATTTCACATATCATATCAAAGAAGATAATCTTGGTGGATCATGACGCGAGAAGTCTGGGAAAGGAACGCCTCATTCCGGCAGCGGCCGGAAGGCGATGAGCCCTCTCACCGCCGTCCTGCTGAGGGAGCTACAGAAGACTCCTCACGCTTGCTTGTATGAGCTGAGACTACCGACGCATCAAGGGCATCTCCAGAAAGCCGGTAATCTGAATTTTGATGTGACCCCGTCCGAGCGAGGAGGTGAAGGGGAAAAACATAAACCACTTGCGTTTGGTTCTCATAGGCTCGCTGATAGGCCCGAGGATTTTGCCCTCTTTCTTTGGCACACTGCGCCCTACCTTGGCTTACCTTTCGGAGCCAAGATATGCCAGAGAACCGAAAAACTTTTCTCGCCCTGCCTCGCTCGTAGCAAACGCTCATCTCAATTTCTAGAGGTGCATGAAATGACAGTCGAGAATGAAGGTGTCATTCACCAACGATGGTTTGAGAAGAAAGTGTGTTTCTTCGGCAGTTGGGTTCTTGGGGAGATAGGGCGGACGGAGTGAGCGAGACGGACGGAGGGATCTCGGAAGTTCCTATTCATCAAGTCTTGGCTCTGTGTTGTCAATGTTTTGGGTGAGGTGATGGTGGTGATGATGGTGTTTGAACAGCCGAATGGGTCGGACATGCGACCGCACATCACCCTTTCTCGGAGGTACCTGTGGAGAGGACACGTGGGTAACATCTATCCTGGAGTTCCTGTGAGCTGGCAATGTCAAAGTAGAAGATTTGCGGAGACGGCGGCGAGCTATACCGGTGATGTCAAGGTGCCGAAGAGAAGGATGGCCGCCAAGACTCCAGTTCTGATCACGATACTTTGTGCATGCATGTCTTCAAATATGACTTCTGCGTACGTGACAGCTCACGAAGGGGGCCCCGAGTTTGCGAAACCACGAGGGATTGACGAGATACTTGAGACGAAGATCGCAATCTACTCCTTGGCGGCAACGTGCCTTTGACATGACCATGTCCGAGATATGACACTTTTCTTTCTTCGCCACTGCCGAATATGAGAAGTTGTGTGCCGACATGACCGGAATCACCATGGCATAAATGAATGGGGGAGAAAACGAAAAGGGCAATTGAAATAGTGAGCAAAAGAAAAGAAAAAAAGTCTCAGCGCCGACGAACTGTTGCCGACGAATCGAGTAAGGAGAGATGACGGAACGGCGGCACCGTCGAACCATGCCGACAATGGGATGCGAGGGAGATTTTTTACTTTGCTTGGAGGTTTTTCTGGCTTGGTGGTCTACGTCGGCGTTGAGGGTTGTGGGATACATGGGCGGACCGGTGGGAGCACTTGACAGATGACAGGAGGGAAGTCTGGTAGAGATACACACAGACGACTTTGAGTGAGTAATGCAGATGCAGATACTCGAGCACTATTGAATCCTCCGTGATGGGCAAAACACATTGGGGTCACCTAATGTGTAGGAAATTTACGTATCAAAACTCTCAACTAGAACTTGGACTTGTGTTCAAACAAAAAAAGGCTATCTACAGACACACGTGCGGTGCTAAATACCTTAGCAAGCTCGCATTGCGTCAATACGATTACGACATTTGAATAGACGATAGGTAAGTTGGTGAGTAACGGGATGAGGTTTTTAGAGCTTGCGGGAGAAAAACTGCTCAAAACGGGCATCATAGCTTTTGGGATAATCTCTTGGGAAGTAGAAAGTCTCCCCCGGCTTCGACTTCCGGACGCGCAAACTACTATCCAATCATCAGACCAAGGCAAAACATTGGAAAGCCAAACCCTAACTCTTGTGATGTCAGAATCAGCCCAAGGGCGAGGACAAGGATGCCCAGGCTCCTTCTTTTGCGGTAGAGTTGCGTCGGGTCGGGATATGGTTCACGGGTTGGCCAGAGTTAGAGCTTAGGGTTAGACTAGCTGTCGAGAGTAAATCCGAACGCAATTCTTATAGGCCTTCAAGGATTTGTCGAGGAGGAAGGGGGGAGATTGGACCTATGACGAGATGGGATGAGAGGAGGGGGAAAAGATGGTGTAAGTGGCATTTTGGCATGACTCGTAGAGGTCAGACTGTGAACAGGCACGACAGGTTGTGCAACACACCGTTTCTTTGCCGTTTGCTTAGACCATTTTTGGAGTAAAGCTTAAGGTACGGATACGTTGCTCGAGAAGAGGGAGAGGCTGAACCGTTGCGGGGAGCGGGTACGGATACCTTTGGTTACACCCGAACCGAGCCGGCCTCTTGGTGGATTCCGTCTCTCGGTCCTCTCCGTGATGTGGGGATAGCCCGGGCGGCGCAAAGTGGATTCAAGTGAAGAGCTTCCGTCTTCACCTTCTCATTTAGGCCGCTATGCCATGGTTTTTGCCCATGAGGAAAGCCACGCCGCTGATGAACGTGGCAGCCTTAGCGTTGAGACGGACGAGTGAACAAGATGCATAAAAGAGGTTGGCTTTGGTGTAGATACGGAATGCGCAGACTGCTGATTACTCTAAATTGGGTTTGTCGGTGGTACTGTTAGAGTTGAGGAAGGTCCAATGAGACGGAGATATGATGGCCCCAGCGTTTACATGTGTATGAGGTGAGGAGGATGCCGCGTGGAGGGGTTACCTTACACATGTCATAGTAGGCTGACCTGACGTACCCTTATCTGCAAGCTGCAATTGCAGCCGGTTTGCCGCCGTATCTCGTGATGTTTCTTATGCCAATGCCTATATCCTCTCCTTATTAATCATTCTGATTCCGTGCCTCGGAGCGTATCATTTCTCAAAGCAACAGCAATGCATCTGTGGTTGGAAGTGGCTATAGGTTCGTCGCACTCATCTCATGGGGAGGAACTTTTACTTTGCTCCTCATTCTTCAGCCAGTGCAACTGTACACGTGGTCGAGGCGGTCTACATTAGCCCAGCAGCATGTGCAAGGAAGGTTGCGTCGCGTAGATCTGACCTTTTCCTTTCTCGGTATCAGAGATCTTTTATCCCTAATCTCACCTTTCGCTTGCGCCTCCCCCAACTCGTACCGCATTCCGTGAACAAAGTCTAGGGGTTCTTTGCCTGCACCTTCTACCAGTAACCCTACCATCAGCCAGGAATGAATCTCCATTGCAGGGTAGGGCCAGGGTAGAGCAAGCCTCAAACCATTCCGCGTGGTGTTCCATCGACTTACTCCGTTTGGGGGTTGCACTACGTGATACTATGCTATGCATACGAGATACGAGATGCCTGTTGGAGCGCCATCCCATGCACTTCTCAACTCTGTCCTATCTTTAGGTTCTCCGATGCTCCGCTCCCTCTCGCACTCGTCTCGTGCTAGTGCCCCACAATCCGTTCACCTCAAGGCTGCCTAGCTTGCTTCTTCACGTGTGTGTGTGTGTGTGTGTGTTAGATCTCGATATCGACATATCGCAGTCGGGGCCTCTCAAAGTCACTGCCCAATGACTCTCCGAAATAAACGCAGTGGCCATAAAGCAGAAGAGGAGAAAAGGAGAAAATCCAAGGCAGGGAGAGCAGGAAACCGAATTCCGTCATGTTCATCCTTCTCAACATTGGGCCACGAGATCACTAAACCAAAAGTTTATCTTTAGACACCGCGTGGAACCCACGGAGTACTCAAACAAGTCCAACGGATCCTACTATCTGTGCTCCTCTTAAAGAAATCCGAGGGAGTTTGTAAAGACGCATACCGAATCGTCGAATAGAAAGCAGCGCTGCGGGCGCAGGCAAGAAGAAGAATTTGCGAGGATTAGGCGAAGATTCAACACGGTTGCGAAATTTCTTTTTGCTTCCAGCTCTCTCTCTCTCTCTCTCTCTCTCTCTCTCTCTCTCGCACTTGCAAAACCTGCCTACTACGGTAGGAAAATCATCCCATCTCTTCCCCTGTCCTTCTTGTTTAACCTTGTTATGCTATGCAAGCACTTGCGCCGCGCTAAGACTTTGAGACACAAGCATTTTCACAGAAAGGCGAACGGTAAAAGCACGTTCCCTTTTTGCGTTTGGCTCCCCTACCAGCCTACCTACTGCACAGTTGCGCAGAGAAAGCCAGGACCTTTGCCACTATATGCTGGACAGCGGTACCCAAATCCCGAGAAACTTGTGCGGCCCAGGAGTCTAAATCATACAATCTGTACAGCCGCGAGAGCCAGTTGGTGCCTCTTGCGTTTTGGTATACAGAGTAGGGTAGCAACGGAGCAGAACCCCGGGGAGAGCTTAGCAGGGAACGTACTGGTTGTAGGGTTTCTTTCTATTCAGACTATGGTGTATGGAACAGGGAACAGCACTCTTTCAAATCCCATCATCCTTAGTCAGAAATTCAACTCTATTAGCCTCTGTTGACTCGAAGTGAAGGAATAGGTCAGCTTCTCAGCCTACCCGAAGCAGCACGCTCCGAGGACTTTTCACTTTGGATCATGGATGATGCCTTCTCCGCTGGACCCCCATCTTCCTTTAACAGGAAAACCCATCCTTCAACTGGGTCGTCCGTATAGGTAGAAGAATGATAGAAGAGGGGCCGCTCCCTAGGGCGAAGCGGCGGAAAAGCCAAGACCGGAGAGACTACAAGCCTTCCCGGTCTTTCGCTGTAGTCGTAGTTGAACATGACTTATGGGGCCCTGCTCCAAACAAGATCTCGATGATACCTAGGCTGGAGGGATCATGATACTCTGAAGGGTTCGGTCTAGACGAGCGCCAGCGGCCGTTTGGTTTCTTGCTTGCGCGACCGGGTTAGTATAACGCCCGAAAACCGCGTTTTGGAGCTTTGGTCCTGTTCTTGTTTGCCTGCGCAACCAGCCCAATCTTTGACGGAATCCCGAGTCTCAACGCCCTTCTCAAACATGTCAAAGATGGGGGAAGAGGGGGAGGCGACGGGTACGACCGAAGGAGATCCCACGTGTCGCGGAGTCCCCAAAAGCCAAGCCCAGCTTCTCTCCCCTCCACCACCCCAGAACTACAAACGCACGCGTGCATGAAGAAACGTCTCTCTTGTAGGAGGGAATAGGGTAGGAAGGCGTCAAACGGAGTGAGACTCCGAAGTTCTGACAGTCCAACCACATGGTGTAATTCTTTTTGCCTCACACGAAGGGAAAACGGGACCACCGCACACCCATCCATTCATCCATTCATCCATTCATCCATCCATCCAATCACATGGAAGAGAAGTAGAGCTTTGCCAGGACGAAACCCACGTGGGATAAAAGAGGCGACACTTCCGACGCCCGCACACTCGGAATTCTTCTTCGTCTTGCGTTGGGCCGCACTTTGTGTGCTTGGGAAATCCTTCCCCTCGGTGCCTTGTGTGACACAAAACACATGGCGGTCAGGTATCTCGGACCAAAAAGAAAATGGTTGGTCTAACACATCTCTACCCAAGACGGGTACCAAAACCCAAAAATCCACACCCAAGGTTTTTCGCTAGAATGGCCGTAGAAGCCTGTTCGGCAGATCTTTTGCGGTGTGTAATCTCGAAAGAGGAGATAGCACCCACCCCAATCACTCCAATCAGTTCACACCATTGCCCAGCCTATCCATCCATCCAAGCCCAGATCGTGTCGAGAACAACGTGGCAGACACGGGGGTTGAGCGGTGGCGGATCTGCAAGACGTGCCTTAGCTCGACATCCAGATTCCTCTGTAGCGGGCGAATGTGTGCTTTCCCCCCCTCCCCTCGAGCCCACCCCTTGCCACCATCGTTCGATTGTGAGCAAATCACATCAGGACGGCAGATGTCCATTCACCTGAAGATGGGATTTGCTCTCAGAATACTGGTCAAAAGGGGATCGCGGGCAAAATAAAAGTCATAGGCACAAGATTATCATAGTACTGTGACTAGTTTACTCTTTGA